GTACTCCATGCATCATAATAACAGTCGTCTTTCTTTTCGCCCCACACCTAGCATGCATGTTCCCCCGAAGCGAGAACCCTGCTCCGTTCATGGCTGCTGGAACGAAATGATCTCCGAGTCAGTTCGAAGATATCGTTTAACAAATACTTTGGCAGCATCTTTCGTTCGTTCCACAATCCCTCTTATTTCAGTCGTCGCCTGGCCCAGTATGCCGTGCTTTATACTTCAAAGGTCTCCAATTTATACAGATACCCGTTGGATCATATCTTCTATCCGAAGCGTACCGGTTTGCCCCACGAACCCGCATGGTGGCAATAGCTACCTGGCTCCCCACATTAGTATTTACGTATTACTTGTTCCTCAAAACATTCCTCCCCTTTTGTGAATCGTCGCACACACTTCCCAGTTATGTGTGCTCAGGTTTCACCAAACTGAGTTTTGCCCAGGTCTTTCGAATTGTGTTTTTCTTCAGATCCTATGTGATGCATCTTCAATTAGTTACTGCTTTCTTTTCTGAAAGAATCCATTGTCGGATTTTTATGTGTATGTACCTGACTTACAATGTCAATTGTAGACCGTTATCCGCTTCTGTTTTTGCTTGCACATTGCTCCATTACGGTAATTTACTCAATTGAGCGTATGTTATTTGAAGTGTCTGCTCAGTCTTGTGTGTTTTTTGCCAATAATTTTGCACTGAAACAGCCTCTGGACTTGTTACGTATTTTTTGTGACAGTTTACGACGGCTACGTCGGTTTGTAAAACTAGGTTGGCGTTCCCCCACTGACGGGCTTTATTTAAACAGACACATCATAGAGACGCCGCGAGCGGACAACGCTCAACTACATGCCCATCGCTGATAACTCTACCTTTGAACTTTTGTACGTTTCTCATTACGAACAAGTAAATCGACTCATGTTTATCTGATTGTCCTACTGGCTCTTGTTCTCCTAGCTTGATTCTTCTCGTAGGCCCGAATTCCCGGGTCGGTTTCATGATGGTCACTGATTTTTTCATCTTTGTTGTCAGACGAACGTTGACGTGTTTGTCAACTACCCCTACACTAATTTTGTTTGGTCTCAAAACACTGTGCAGAGCAATTTAAACGAAACGAAACGTTCAGCCATATCACACTGTCGATGCTTAGCTGCCACGTCACCCGAAGGAAGTACCAGGGCTAAGATACTCTCAAGTTGCCCAAGCCTAGCCAGGAGCGATCTGCTTGGAATGATGGTAATGATCTGCCCGCAAATGTCGGATTATGTAAGAATTATGAATGGACACCCCGGCTACTTGTTGGGTGATCAAACAAAGGACAACAAATGAAAATGGGACAGGATGTAGCCAGCCCGCCATATGACTGATCCAGGTTAATGCCCGTGTGTTTGTTGACCCAGGTTCCGCCACTTGGTCCTGATTCAACTGTAGGCGGTAAAAGCTCATTGTCACGGACCACATATCTTGAATATGAGCCAATTTCCTAAGGAAACTTGGAACCTTTACTGCCGATCGTTGTGGTTGGTGTCCGATATCAGTCGATTTCTTCGAAAATTTGAATGGCGATGTGTTTTTTGGATGCTGGTACTCCACGGCAAACTAAACTTGATGTAAGAAAAACAAATAAATTTCCTATGTGTCCCTTCGATTGGAATTGAACTAACGAGTAGTCAGTTCCCAGCGGACCCGAGGATATACTCCATGGGTCTAGACGAGAATGTCTTGTATTCTAGTTCACGGTTTCGGATCCTCTTATCTAGAGTGATCGTGACCAGAATTTTCGAAAATATGCGCTGAGAGCTCTTTATCTTCGATGACACTCTTTGCCTCATTTCATTGGTGTGATCTGAGTGGTGCTTGTATTCGCACTTTCCGTGCAACACTGAGCTCAGCTCCGTTTGAGACATTATGACTAGGATATCCAGATGAATCTCGTTCTACTTATGCGGTGTATAGATTGTGTCCTTCACCCCGTATATGGACTATAGTGCATAGAATTCGAAGTTGCTTGTCTGTGGTGGCCAATAAATACTTTTGAATACTGTTTTCTTGTTGATGCTTTTGTCGCTGAGTGGTAAACGCACAAACATATCTGAAATGTCATGTTTTTCCATGTTTCATTGAAGCCCCTCGGAGCTTCGCCTCAAATTGCTCACAAAGCAATGCTTAGTCGGCAGCAACAAAACAGTGCACAGCCAAGGACTTGACATGACTCCTACATCACAGTCTTTGTAGTGTTAGTAATAATGGCAGCTCATCCAGACGTTTATGGTAGAATCCAGTGAGTTGTTTTCTAGCCCTATCCTTGGGTCTTCAGTGAGTACAGTCGCAATCAGCGGACCTTGTCTGACTAATTCGTAATAAAATATCTGGCAAGTGCTTTCTTGCAAGTATCATTTACCTAACAGCCATTCAAAAACATACTGCCGTCAATGCTTACGAAACTGTTATTTCCGAGTGCGCATACGGCCAAGGTACATTTTGTTGCAAATGAGTTATATTCTCAGCCTTCACCACTTCGTTGAGGTTTTTCGCACCGGAAACCAGTAACCCTGCATTCTCTGGTGCACTCAGTGGCCAACCGTACGACAACCCATTTACGTATTGGGATGGTTTACCAAATGTTGGACCAGTCTTTTATCTCTACTCCACTCCACTTCCTTCAGTGTGCGATTTCTTCCCGTTTGGGAGTTGGAGCACTTTTATACAGCTAGGTTAGCGAACAAGGAGAGCCTTCGCCTCGGCGTAGATACAATATAGTTTCTCTGCTGCCGTCAACCACACCAATCGGGTCACGCAGTTTGTCCGACATTTTCGTTCTGAATTGTGAGATGCAAAATGCTGATGATTCTGATCATGCCTAAACCGGGCGTATATCGCTTCTTTGCTACCTGCTGAAACCGTACTCCATGCATCATAATAACAGTCGTCTTTCTTTTCGCCCCACACCTAGCATGCATGTTCCCCCGAAGCGAGAACCCTGCTCCGTTCATGGCTGCTGGAACGAAATGATCTCCGAGTCAGTTCGAAGATATCGTTTAACAAATACTTTGGCAGCATCTTTCGTTCGTTCCACAATCCCTCTTATTTCAGTCGTCGCCTGGCCCAGTATGCCGTGCTTTATACTTCAAAGGTCTCCAATTTATACAGATACCCGTTGGATCATATCTTCTATCCGAAGCGTACCGGTTTGCCCCACGAACCCGCATGGTGGCAATAGCTACCTGGCTCCCCACATTAGTATTTACGTATTACTTGTTCCTCAAAACATTCCTCCCCTTTTGTGAATCGTCGCACACACTTCCCAGTTATGTGTGCTCAGGTTTCACCAAACTGAGTTTTGCCCAGGTCTTTCGAATTGTGTTTTTCTTCAGATCCTATGTGATGCATCTTCAATTAGTTACTGCTTTCTTTTCTGAAAGAATCCATTGTCGGATTTTTATGTGTATGTACCTGACTTACAATGTCAATTGTAGACCGTTATCCGCTTCTGTTTTTGCTTGCACATTGCTCCATTACGGTAATTTACTCAATTGAGCGTATGTTATTTGAAGTGTCTGCTCAGTCTTGTGTGTTTTTTGCCAATAATTTTGCACTGAAACAGCCTCTGGACTTGTTACGTATTTTTTGTGACAGTTTACGACGGCTACGTCGGTTTGTAAAACTAGGTTGGCGTTCCCCCACTGACGGGCTTTATTTAAACAGACACATCATAGAGACGCCGCGAGCGGACAACGCTCAACTACATGCCCATCGCTGATAACTCTACCTTTGAACTTTTGTACGTTTCTCATTACGAACAAGTAAATCGACTCATGTTTATCTGATTGTCCTACTGGCTCTTGTTCTCCTAGCTTGATTCTTCTCGTAGGCCCGAATTCCCGGGTCGGTTTCATGATGGTCACTGATTTTTTCATCTTTGTTGTCAGACGAACGTTGACGTGTTTGTCAACTACCCCTACACTAATTTTGTTTGGTCTCAAAACACTGTGCAGAGCAATTTAAACGAAACGAAACGTTCAGCCATATCACACTGTCGATGCTTAGCTGCCACGTCACCCGAAGGAAGTACCAGGGCTAAGATACTCTCAAGTTGCCCAAGCCTAGCCAGGAGCGATCTGCTTGGAATGATGGTAATGATCTGCCCGCAAATGTCGGATTATGTAAGAATTATGAATGGACACCCCGGCTACTTGTTGGGTGATCAAACAAAGGACAACAAATGAAAATGGGACAGGATGTAGCCAGCCCGCCATATGACTGATCCAGGTTAATGCCCGTGTGTTTGTTGACCCAGGTTCCGCCACTTGGTCCTGATTCAACTGTAGGCGGTAAAAGCTCATTGTCACGGACCACATATCTTGAATATGACCAATTTTCCTAAGGAAACTTGGAACCTTTACTGCCGATCGTTGTGGTTGGTGTCCGATATCAGTCGATTTCTTCGAAAATTTGATGGCGATGTGGTTTTTTGGATGCTGGTACTCCACGGCAAACTAAACTTGATGTAAGAAAAACAAATAAATTTCCTATGTGTCCCTTCGATTGGAATTGAACTAACGAGTAGTCAGTTCCCAGCGGACCCGAGGATATACTCCATGGGTCTAGACGAGAATGTCTTGTATTCTAGTTCACGGTTTCGGATCCTCTTATCTAGAGTGATCGTGACCAGAATTTTCGAAAATATGCGCTGAGAGCTCTTTATCTTCGATGACACTCTTTGCCTCATTTCATTGGTGTGATCTGAGTGGTGCTTGTATTCGCACTTTCCGTGCAACACTGAGCTCAGCTCCGTTTGAGACTGGGATATCCAGATGAATCTCGTTCTACTTATGCGGTGTATAGATTGTGTCCTTCACCCCGTATATGGACTATAGTGCATAGAATTCGAAGTTGCTTGTCTGTGGTGGCCAATAAATACTTTTGAATACTGTTTTCTTGTTGATGCTTTTGTCGCTGAGTGGTAAACGCACAAACATATCTGAAATGTCATGTTTTTCCATGTTTCATTGAAGCCCCTCGGAGCTTCGCCTCAAATTGCTCACAAAGCAATGCTTAGTCGGCAGCAACAAAACAGTGCACAGCCAAGGACTTGACATGACTCCTACATCACAGTCTTTGTAGTGTTAGTAATAATGGCAGCTCATCCAGACGTTTATGGTAGAATCCAGTGAGTTGTTTTCTAGCCCTATCCTTGGGTCTTCAGTGAGTACAGTCGCAATCAGCGGACCTTGTCTGACTAATTCGTAATAAAATATCTGGCAAGTGCTTTCTTGCAAGTATCATTTACCTAACAGCCATTCAAAAACATACTGCCGTCAATGCTTACGAAACTGTTATTTCCGAGTGCGCATACGGCCAAGGTACATTTTGTTGCAAATGAGTTATATTCTCAGCCTTCACCACTTCGTTGAGGTTTTTCGCACCGGAAACCAGTAACCCTGCATTCTCTGGTGCACTCAGTGGCCAACCGTACGACAACCCATTTACGTATTGGGATGGTTTACCAAATGTTGGACCAGTCTTTTATCTCTACTCCACTCCACTTCCTTCAGTGTGCGATTTCTTCCCGTTTGGGAGTTGGAGCACTTTTATACAGCTAGGTTAGCGAACAAGGAGAGCCTTCGCCTCGGCGTAGATACAATATAGTTTCTCTGCTGCCGTCAACCACACCAATCGGGTCACGCAGTTTGTCCGACATTTTCGTTCTGAATTGTGAGATGCAAAATGCTGATGATTCTGATCATGCCTAAACCGGGCGTATATCGCTTCTTTGCTACTCAATACAGGTCTGTTTCACGTACAATATGTAGCTGACATTTGACCTACAGACTATCCTTCCCACTCCCGATGTCCAAATCGGTTTCGCTGATAATGGAGCTTTTATGATTGTTTACGTTTGACTCACATGCCCATTTAGTATGACAATGAAATAGTAAGCCAGTACATCATATAAATTCCGTTTTTGGCGTGGACGTTAACAGTGACAAATTTCAACATTATTCGCCCTGGCAGTGTTCACTAGCTTGAAGCGTCAGTTTCCCGCTTTTCTGTCGATCTTTCAAATAATCTCCCGAATTGTTCGGAAGGTGTGGATAGGCTTCGCCATCCAGTTTTCAAAACCTTGAAAATGATTGGCTAGGTCCATCTTTTTAGTAGCCCCATAGTGCCTTGGCTACAATATCATAGGTTTGTTATACGTCCCACGGAAAGATAAAGAAGATCTATATAGTACTGTATAATATTATGTACAAGGACAATATATAATACGATGTGTGCGCTCGGTGGATCGATATAGACTTATGAGTATGTAGTGAATGGTTAAAACAGTCCGAGATCCCTGTGTCCGGTACATTGTGGTTACTTGATTACTAGTCAGTGTTGCAACATTCAGAAAGAAACATATTTGGAGCACTGGGATCATTATTCATGACTATTGCTGCCGTAGCAACCGTAAACGAAAATTTCTCACCTCCCCTATTCGTAACGGCTTTCACACAGTTCGTTTGAACGTTGGTCGCAGCTCAATATCAGTCCTTCCTCAACCCTTACTGTCTTCTCAATAAATGTGTCCAAGACTAGATTCACTAATCAGTACTGAAATTGGAACTTTAAAAGGCCTTCAAGTCCTACTGTTATTTGTTTGCAAAGCTCCTCAAGATTCACATCCCACCCTGAAATATGGTAAGCACGCATTATGTCTTCTTCGTCCAAAGCATTGAGTCCGGAAATCGGAATGTGACGATTGACAAAGGTTACGTTTAGATGGGGTTGATTGTCAGGTAAAGGTGAAGACAACTAGTTCTAATTTTGTTTTAACCAGCATTAAGCGCTTGTTTTTCCAAGCTAATTTCGTCCAATTTCCTTTGGAGTTCTGACAAAAACAGTTCACCATTTTCCACACATTGCTGAACAAAACGTTAGGTTTTTGAAAGAATCTTGTGAAAGCCAACTTAATTTCGTATGCGAAACTAGACATTAGAAGTCGTCCTCTTTCTGAGAATATAGGTTTTGAAAATTCAGTAAGCAGAGCTTGGTCGTGTTTATCGCAGTGGTGGCAAAATGCATTGGCCTGTTCAGTTGAACACTCAGATGTGTATGAATTAGTGTGTGGATCACGGACATGAGGCTGCGACTTCGTTCAAGAAGTAAGTAAATCCGTGGCAACGATCAAGATTCGGTGGTGTGCTTTAATCCAGTAATCGAGTTATTTGGCAACTCGAAATATGCTCTCTATCTCTTGTACATGCTTCCGACTGTGCTATACAAATCAATTCTTGACTGAAATGCCCGTCATTCTTGGGGAAAACTCAACCATTCAGTAATTGGATACATCCAGATGGATGGAAAAATTATTCTTTGCATATATGTATCACACAATGATGTCTACGCATTTTCTGACATGTTATCGATTTTCTAACGGAACTGTTCTTGAAGAGAACCGTTTGGAACAATTTCTCCAAGTCGCCCTGTGGACTTCTTCGATTACTGAGGTGCGATCGACTTTTCGTTGATTGTGCCAGTTTTCCACAATTGGAAATGAATAGTGCGTACAAAATACGAACTATCGCTCCCGTTTCTGTGAAAGTGATTACTGTTGTAGGTCGTTTGTGAAACGTGTTACGGAGTTCCTGAAAATTCGCTACACCGTTTTTTCACAGTCGATTCTGCGTTTCACTGCTACTTCGGAAGATGTCCGAACACGGCAAGCAGATGTGACTCAATTGTTTATTGTCATCCAAATCCGTTGACCTGCACTTATGTCACGCAGAGTGTCAGTTTGCAAGTACATGCTTAGATATGTGGAGAGAACTTCGCTGTTTGAACTTACAAGCAAAGTCACCTGGTTTTAGATTGTAGTTAGCTCAATATGTCGTGCATTAGAAAGTCTATCGATAATATTGGAAACGGTTAAAACGATTGTACGTACGTGACTCTTGCTCTTATACTCCTGACCCAAATACACAATTTTCGGATCCGAGTGATCTTTTTTGCCTATTGCTAGGGGCTTTTCTTCCCTATTCGACCATTCTTGATGAGTACCGAAAATGGGAACTATCGGCTACGTGAATTCAGCTCTCCTCGGAGTCTAAGCTCAGATCTGTTATGTATAGAATACCACCAACCGTTGAATGCACTTTGTCTCATAGCTAAATGAGACATTTCAACGGTTCTTCGAACTTTCAAATGTCTAGCTACGCAAGTAACCTTCCTATTGTTTCTGCCTTGTACTCTCCGCTGACGAAGGATAGTCCAAACTATTTAGTTTTGAGAAAGCTGGTCACGTTGATCTGTATGTGGGAAAAATGCGAATCAGGTGTCATTTTTCTGGCGCAGTGTGCCTATTTTATAGACTTTCTCGCGGAAGTTGACGAACTTATTTATGTGACCATTTTTATTCAGTTCCATTACAATATGCCGAATACTACCGCATGCATACCTTTGAAAGTCACATCTTTCAGTGAACTGAGGGAAGTGGTATTTCAATGGACTGAAGCGTATTCACAATCTTTTCATTGCAAGTTAGCCCTTGAATTCAGTACTTTTCAACACTGGAGATCGAGAAAGGAAGACATGTGGATTTTCCTACCGGCTATGGTCGCATCTCTGACTGCACTTAGGGGAGAGCTTCTG